GTTATTCAAACTTTTTTGAAAAGAGTATCATTGTTAGATTAATAAAGCAAATGCCAATTTTCTATTTCGATTTTATCGATTATAGTACTAATTCATTAAGTGTATTAAAATATAATGTATAAAATTTTATCATTAACATTTATCTGCTATAATAAATTGATTTTTAAATATCAAGAGAGATTTCTAAATTTATAAAATAAAAATATATAATTTAAAATAAAAGAAAAGAAAAGAATGACGATTCGCTAAATCGGAATTAATTAAGTGCCGATACAAATATACATTAGTATTTACAAGTTACAAGTATCTGCGAGTAGTATCTTACAATCCCCTTCAAAATACCCCTGGGGCCTGTGAGTCTGCAGTTCCAGAGAAAAAAGAGAGAGAAGGAAAGAAAGAGAAAGAGAGATCGAGATCCAGATATGGTGGGAGATGTCCTCTTATGGTAACGTCTTCGCTTCTGCGGTTCACGAGAGAGAAAACAAACAAGAGGAAAGGAGTGCCATAGAAGGATTCTTTTTTTCTTTATACATCTTTTTGGTCTTTTATATTAAGAATGACGAAATATAAAATAATATATTGTATGTATCTTTTTATTCCTGAGGGAATTACTATACAGAAACATGAATATTTTAAAAATTAACAACATTAATTTATAAAAAAATCTTTAACTATAGATATGACAGATTATAATTTGTTACTAAAATTTTTCTTTTTTTATTATTACAGTTATAATTAAATAACTGTAAGTACAAGAACTATACGTTGAACTTATAACAAAATATTATAACTTATTATAACAAAACAGTTAAAATCCTTAGAATCTATTCATTTTGTTTTTCAAATACCTAGAATTATGCTTAATTAATGTAATTTTTTTTTTTAATAACTCTTTCATTAATGTTTCTTTATAATATTTTTTTGCAAAATTAATAAATCAATTACAAAAAAGGTTAATTAAAAGGAATAATTTAAAGAGTTAATGCTTAATATAATACTTAATAAATTGGAAACATACACACAATATCTATTTTGTGAAAGTAGCAAAAGGCGTTACAGAAAACATTACACGCTTTTTGCTACAATCTACCAATAACGAATTACGTGGATGGACAGAATATTTTTAGATTACTCGCGTCTTATTCAAGACTCTTCTCACCGAATAGCTAAGTAGTGATCGCCCTTTATCTACTTTCTTGTTGTAAACAAGGTATAATCTATGTTGTGATTATGTCAAAGAAAGTTTCCAGAAGTAACTGAAAATTAAATACAAGTAGTATAGAAATATAGAAAATAATTTCTCGTGTTTTCGAATAAATATTTGACATTTTAATGAGTGAATAAAGGACTAAATAGCAGTATAAATGATTTATGTGTAGATATTAAATTTCTTTGACGTATTTCACAATTAATTTTCAAAGATAATCAATATTGGAATAAATTGTTATAACAATTTAATACTGTAATATTTAAAATATTCCACAACGTAAAATTAATTTGATATCTATAAAATGCATTTAAATCGTGCGTAATAAAATTCACAATTAGAGATTGTGGTTCGTGGAATTCAGAAGAAATTTCCTGGAAACTTCTTTGCCAAACGAACGCGATTTAACATAGTGGTTTGAGAAAAAGCGAAAGGGAATTCCTGGCGAGGTTAACCTGATTTCTAAGACATCTCTATGTGTGTGTGTGTGTGTGTGTGTGTGTGTGTGTGTGTGTGTGTGTGTGTGAGAGAGAGAGAGAGAGAGAGAGAGAAGATGCGCAATGTCCGCACGACATCCCGGAAATGGAAGCGGCAGCTGGACGTCCCGACGAGCTCGCGCTCGTTAAAACCTGCAATTAGCGCGATCCTTCAGTTTCGAAACGGCGAAACGAATCCAGTCTTCGGTCAGCAGATCTAATTGATTACACTCGCTAATGGATATACTAAATTCAGAATTGCTTAAATATGCGAAAATATATCTTTTAAATTTATTAAGATATTTAACTATTACAAAATATTCAATTATTATAAATATCATAAGTCTCAATTAAGAAATGTAATTAATATAGCATAGTATTAATATTCAATAAATAAAATCATTTACTGGTATAAAATTAAATCGTAAATATTAATAAGAGAATTTATCACCTATTAAAAGCTTAAATGAAACAAACAAATCTACATAAATTAATTCGCTTAATTTCGTGAGCGTGTTTTTCATTAATAAAGTTTAAATGAAGCTATATGTTGAAGTTATATAAAATAGACTCGACTTCGCGACGCATTAATTGTTTAGTTTACAGTGGAATTACGGAGGAATTTAATTAATGCCGTACTGTCATCTTTTTTTGTGGAATTTCTAAAAGTTAGGTCGACGGCCCTTTTATTCGAGGCAAAGAAAGAATTTAACTAGAAGTGTGGCGGATCAATTTCGTGATTAATACAGATTACCGTTCGCTTTGCGGGTTTTAATTAAAACCATTGCTGAGAACGTGCTTCAATTTAGCCCACATTATAGCATAAATTTCTCGCCAAAGAAAATTATTTACAATCTGTTTCTCATTTTCGTTAAAACTTAAAAATCAAGGAATAAAATAATGAGTATGCAACTTTCATCGCACTGAATTAAAGCAAGATTCAAAAGTTAACTCTAGGGATAAAAATCTAAGGCTAATGATAATAAAATAATAATTAAATTAACAATAACATAATTAAAAAATTTTATTAATTTATAAACTTTATATAAAAAAATTTCGTCCTCGTTATATAAAAGGTCTATATTATTATGTGTCAAAATAAATTTAGACATTTAAAAATATGAAATTTTAAATATCTGAGAATTCCCATATTGTTAAAATTAGAAAATCTGAATCTTTAAAGAGAGATATAAAAGAATCTTTAGGTTTTATATATTAAAATTAAAAAGTTTCCAGGATGTGACTATAAAATTAAAAGATAGAAAAGTTGCAATACCATCAAAATTCCGAGTCACCCGGTGTAATCCAGTAGGGTCCAAACAAGCCAGCTTAATGGTTACAACGAC